AGAACGCTTTATATTTGGATGTATATTCGTCGTTTCACAGTAAAAATCACTTCATTATTACTACTTTCTTCGATCTGCTTGCTTCATATCACTAATCATTACCTATCACTTTACTACCAAAATTACGTTTTACATATTAATAAACACCCTCTAATGCTGTTACTGTATATCACTTATCCTTAGTTTTCACTTCACTCCAAAAGTTCTAGTTTACTTGTATGTACCCTTTCACACTGCTATCGCATTCTCTTTGCTCTTTGCTGTCACTTCACTCCAAAACTTATAGTTTACTTGTATGTACCCTTTCAACTGTTAGTAAACGTTTACAGGAACCTGGGTTGAGGTGGAAACAAATAAAATTGATTACCATATGACTTTTGAAGTGAAGTGACAGCTAAGAGCAAAGAGTACGTAATAGCAGTGCGAAAGGGTATATACAAGTAAACTAGAACTTTTGGAGTGTAGTGACAGCAAATAGCAAAGGGAATGCGATAGCAGTGTGAAAGGGTACATACAAGTAAACTATAAATTTTGGAGTGAAGTGACAGCAAAGAGCAAAGAGAATGCGATAGCAGTGTGAAAGGGTACATACAAGTAAACTATAAGTTTTGGAGTGAAGTGACAGCAAAGAGAATGCGATAGCAGTGTGAAAGGGTACATACAAGTAAACTATGAGTTTTGGAGTGAAGTGACAGCAAAGAGCAAAGGGAATGCGATAGCAGTGCAACGTAAAAATATGCTTCTGTTTATCAAATGTTTTCATTCAAAGTCACGCGTTGCTTATTGTTATGTGTTTCTGTTTAGAGAACAAGTTAAGTTTTAATTACCAATATATATATACTAAGAGTTTCATCTAGAATGGTGTAATATTAGTATTTACACATAATTAAGTGAATATGCACACTCATTGTTAGTTAACATTAAGCTGAGTGTTCTATTTTTCTTTACCGTACAGGTTGGTGTTATATATATATATAGCTTCCTAACGATGCACACTAAAACTGTTGTTATGCATGTCTTCACTCTGCAGGCTAAATCTTGTATTCACAGTTAAATAACAATACACGCTAAACGTGGCATTTATTATTATGTCTGTTTTCACTCTGCATGCTAAATCTTATCCTGTACTTATAGCTAAATAACAATACACATTAAAATTTAAATTGTTGTTATGTATGGTTTAACTCAGTGGTATGTTCACAGCTAACTAATAATACACATTAAAAGGTACATTTACTGCTATCTGTTTCTCTTCATTCTGAAGGTTAGATATTTACTTAAAGATCCCTAACAATGCATACTATATGTCAAGTATCACTTTATAGTTTTTCTAAAACCTGAAGTTGACTATTCTATTTCTTTAAAGTCTCATTTAGGACTAAAGCTGGCTATGGAAAATTATAAAACCCTCTAACTGGAATAAAGAAGAGTATATAATATATTAATCACACCATATCTGCTATATCCAGTGCCGATTTTCAGCCCTGCTGTAATACGACAAACACAGTAGTGGTTGAGACGGTATTCATATCAGTGATACGACAAACACAGTAGTGGTTGAGACGGTATTCATATCAGTGGTACGACAAACACAGTAGTGGTTGAGACGGTATTCATATCAGTGATACGACAAACACAGTGGTGGTTGAGACGGTATTCATATCAGTGGTACGACAAACACAGTAGTGGTTGAGACGGTATTCATATCAGTGATACGACAAACACAGTAGTGGTTGAGACGGTATTCATATCAATGTTTTCATGTGAACTAGATTAAATAGGTTAAGTGTAATTTTCATCAATTTTATTTATCTCACTTCATATCAGAATTCAAGTTATGACTTTACTTCGCACGTTACATAAGTTGATTTACTAAGCAAACACCAGAGGGAGGTTAAGCCAAGAGGTTATAGACGTTTCTGTGATATAACTTCTATCACCATGGCAGAATACACCAGAGAGATAAAGAGTTACAGAATGTGTTTCATTATATTTAATAATAGAACACTTGGTGAATAGCATGGTCAAATATGTTATCACTTTCCATATGATAATCTACACTCATGGTTATATTATGAATTCAGATGAAACATTTTATGGAAAGTCAAAATTTTCTTTATTAGAAGTGAAATCATGGAATGTCATTTCCAGTAAGCGAAGGATGAATCCAGATGAAAAGTTCTATCGAAAAGTTAACATTCTCTTCAGGAGAAGTAAAACTCTGGATTGCCACTTCCATTGAAATGTGAATCCAGATGAATAATTTTATACGAACGTTGACATTCTCTTCAGTGGGAAGTAAAACCCTGGATTGACACTTCCATCCACTGAAATGTGAATCCAGATGAATAATTTTAAATGAATGTCGACATTCTCTTCAGGGGAAGTAAAACCCTGGATTGACACCTCCAGTCAGTGAAATGTGAATCCGGATGAATGATTTTATATGAACGTTGACATTCTCTTCAGGGGAAGTAAAACCCTGGATTGCTACTTCTAGTAAGAGAATTATGAATACGGATGAATGATTTTATATGAACGTTGACATTCTTTTCAGGGGAAGTAAAACCCTGGATTGCTACTTCTAGTAAGAGAATTATGAATCGGATGAATGATTTTATATGAACGTTGACATTCTCTTCAAAGGAAGTAAAACCCTGGATTGCTACTTCTAGTAAGAGAATTATGAATCCAGATGAAACATTTTATCGGAAACTTGAGACTCTCTTCATCCGAATTTTCACCATTGCGTCTTCTAAAAATATCTCTTTGAATAAAGAATCGAAGGAAATCAGAGAAATGTCTTTTTTTTAATGGTTCACATATGTTTGAATTTAACTTAGTTATAATTGGAAATAACTGTGCATTTTTATAAGAATACTTTTATAATTAATTATAACTTTAACATATATTATTGGATTAATTAAAGTTGGAGTATAATTTGAATTCCTGCTTTCAGTAACATCTGGTTAATTTTTAGTTATTTCTACTGAATTCGAACATTTGTTCACATTAAGATGTAACTTTGAGTCAAGATCGGGTGATTACTTCTTAGTTTACGTTCTTTTAGACCAACTGATAATAGTGTTATTTTATATGCTAGTGAAACGTTCAGCTACCGTTTCGTCAAGAATACTCGTGATTTCCAAAATGTTAAAACATTTTATTTGTCTTTATATAACATTAACCCACCTGTAATGTTATTTGAACTATTGCTTATTCTTCACAGAATTTCATTAATCTCAACTCAGTAACCCTGAATTTTCTAGTCAATATTGGTTGCCGACGACTTTCATCTCCATAAATACTTATTATAAGTTTCCGGACTTAGAACGTTAAATTCCAGGGCTCGATTCCTGAAGTGGAAAGGGCGTGGATAGCCCATTGTGCAAGTTTGTGATAAAAATCAACAACAACTATTTGAGTCCTAAATTTGAGGTTTCAACTTCCGTTCGAAATACATATGTTATTTTTTAATTTCGATTGACATTTATTAATTGGACACCAATAATTTAGTTTTTTATATCACCGTGATGTTATTATAATAACCAGACGTAAATTAATGTGTAGGGAATATATTTTCATTTGCCAGTATTATTATTTTTGTACTTTCTTAGAACCTGCCATACAAAATAAACACTTTTAGTGGGAAATTATTTAAACTGCTCACATGATTACACATGTAACTATATCTTTTTTAAAACAATTCCAAGTATTTTCTTCTCGTGTTAATGACAAACACTGGCTAGCTGGAACCACGTGTACGGACGGCTACATGAATTTTACTGGAACCTTTAAGGCGGAGTTTCATGGAACAAATATAATAAATTGTCAATAAATTACAGAATTTCTGACTTGTGTTTTTATATTCCCAAGTTAGTCCCTTCCTTCTTTCACCTAATGGGCTTGTTTATTGCAATGTAAAATTCTTTAAAAATCAATATTTTTTACCCACATACACCATATAATTGATAATTATAATTTATTACTTTTTAATGTGATGTTTGAACGCTAATGTGTGGAGTATCATTTCATTAAGACGAATGAAAGTACAGGACGTTGTTAAGCTATCGGGAGGACCATCTCCCCTTTACTTTAGAAGACACTAAGTTTTAATAATATACTATTTCTTAATGTTCAAAGGGGGATAGGTTAATTTTTCACTGGTGGTTTAATTACAAAACAGAAGACATGCATTAACCTCGAAAGTCAAACACTTTCATTAAAGCTGATACCTGAATAGCAGAAAATTGTTTTAACATCGAATTCCGAGTGTCTTTTGAATGGAGTGCTCGAGATGAAAACCTTTAGAAAAGTCGCCAGAATGGCGTTCAGGTTAATTTGAAATCGTCTCATGTTTTTATACATCAAGTCATGCCTGCTTAGAAATGGAATAAAAAAATTCAAAATTGTGTCCAAGTCCACAGCACTGTTAGGAATATTACTGTAGTAGTAACGATGAGGATGTAGATCAATCTAAGCAATCTAAGACTCGGTAGGTCCACATGTATGGATGTTTTATTCAGATCACAAGGCACCTAAACATTACAAAAATACATAAACACAATAAAATACACAGGATACAACAATGTCACTGTGATCAAACATTCAGTTTATAGCAAGCTGCTCGGTTTTTGTTATACTCCACAATGTATCTTCAATACACATAATACAAATAGCAAGCTCGCTATTCGCTGATCATTTTATCAAACGGAAGAATCTATTACAACCTATTTAACGAACATATCTAGATTCTTCTCAATTTACAAAGTCCGCATGTTTCTTATTAAAAGATGAGTGCTCAAGGGCGTTGTCTGATTATTGGTATATATATATATGTAGAGAGAGAGAGAGGGGGAGAAATATATTTTATAGATATCATTATCATAACATTTCTTCGTTTACAAAACGTAAGAGTATTAAGCCTTTTGGAAAACTAAAACGGCCGAACTCTCACTTTAGCTGTGTCTGTATCTACATGATTTTTCTCGTGTCCAATGTCTTATCACTTCATCTCCTATTAGGGCGTGTCTTCCGGGCGTGGCTGGCAGATCAGATCGTGTTTTACCAGGATTTTCCATTTCTGTGTGTACTTCATATTGAAACCCGCCTACAGGAATTAATTCATGCCATGATATCTTAGTCATATGTGTAAGAATTTATAGAATAAGAAAAGTGACACCCAATAATAGTAAGTCCTTCAATCGATGACTGTTCGTGTAAAGACTGAATCTTCTAAAGCATATTTGTCACGTAAAATAGGGTAAATTAATACACAAAATCGCATAGTAATTTATTATCATGCCAAATTAGTTCCATACGTTTCTGTTGACTGTGCCAATTTTAGAAACATTTTACCATAACAAATGAAACAGGTGAATGTAAGGATTACCACCAGCGAAATGTCATTTTTAAGTAAAAATAAGTAGAATAACCCTGTCAAAGAATCAGCTGTAACGTGAAGCTAATGACTGCACAATTCTTGTCACAATAAAATGCAGCAAGGCATTCTGTAGTGACACTATTTATGATGATTAGACAACAAATGTTGAGTTGTTCAACGCATATACAGTACAGGAATCAGTAAAACAACAAGAAACGAATACCTGAAAATTGTACTTTGGCCCGAGACTTCAGGCTTGGCACACAAATAAAAATATAATGAAACTACAGTGAATTCAAAGAGCTATGTCAAACCACAGTATAATTGCTACTATACTACACGTATGATTTACAACTAGCATATTTACATGAAGAGGGCGAGTACTTCCTCGTCAACCACAATTCTCTATGTGTTATACAAAAGTACCGGAACACAGTCTATCAGCTATCGAACATATGTTTTCTTTTCGGATAACACAAACACTAAAAAACAATCTCGTCTCATACCTATAGCACTGGCTTAAGCTAACCTTGATGGTTAATAAAGCACTCACATCTTATTCATGACTGGCTGAAACTAGAAAACTTCACCAACACAAACACTAAAAACCAATTTCGTCTCATACCTATAGCACTGGCTTAAGCTAACCTTGATGGTTAATAAAGCACTCACATCTTATTCATGACTGGCTGAAACTAGAAAACTTCAATCATTACATGAATCTAAAAACATAACATCACTTAGTACTCCTCAGGTATCGAAACATTACATAATCGCTGTTGAATAACAACAAGTTATGTTAGATTTGTGAATTGGTCCCTCTAGAGCACAAGAACAGAAAATGTTTCCTCAAATATCGCTAAAAAAGATCTATCCAGTAAAACATTTATAAATTAATATTACTTTGTGAGCTGTACATAATTATTGTTCATTTTATTGGCATGATTTAATGTCTGAGATAAGATATTGCAATATATATATAGCGATATAATTTTTAATAATATCAAATAGAAAATAAACGAAGAGCAGGAATAGCATACCAAAACCGGAAGTATATTTTTTTAAAGAAATATAACCCAACCCTCATCTACACCTCCCTCTACCTTATAAAAGCTAAGTTCATATACAGATCTAATAAACAAACACCAACTACATACTTTAAAAAACACACATCAAACTTTCTTTGTTTTCCCCTTTTGCCTGTAGGTTCAGCCAGAAGTTTTAGGGTATGTGAGACAAATAACCATGAGATGTCGCTTAAAATCCTAAAACACAGGAATGTTCAGTAAACTCCCCTGAAAGATACACGTAGAACTTATAATCATGTAAACTCCCCTGAAAGATACACATAGAGCTTATAATCATGTAAGCTCCCCTGAAAGATACACATAGAGCTTATAATCATGTTGACGATTACACTTTAAGCTTGAGTGTTCTTGTTGTTGTTTTTTTTTCACTTTAGAAATCAGAGAGATTGACAGTGATCAATGGCGTGTGTCCGAGTTAGGGAATCTAATCGTAAGAGTTCGACCACGTTTTATGACGAGCGTGAAGTGTGACGTACGGAATTTTATATAAAGACAAAGAAAATAAAGGAATATCTCCAACGAGGAATACCATTTAACACCGTTTTAACTCCCAATTGTGTCTAATAATATCATTTGTGAACTTAGTCTACAATAATATATCCATTTTTATAAAAGATATGAACATGTATGTGTGCCATAAGATGGATGATTAAACTACGTTATTACACATAACTTACAATCACATTAAATATAGTTAACCAAGACCAGTGAGAATACATTTCACTAAACAACGGGTGTGTTTGTTTGCTCAGTTTCCAGGATAACTACAATCAGAAAAAAGGACGAAAAAATGAAACGACTCTATCGTTCACACAGCACATTAATAAACATAAAGTGAACATTATTATCAGCAGCATGTGGTGTTATCATAGTTTGAGAAAACCCCCCTCAACTGCATGTAGTATTATCATAGTTTGAGGAAACCCCCTCAGCAGCATGTAGTTTTATGATAGTTTGAGGAAACCCCCTCAGCAGCATGTGGTATTATCATAGTTTGAGGAAACCCCCTCAGCAGCATGTAGTATTATCATAGTTTGAGGAAACCCCCTCAACTGCATGTAGTTTTATGATAGTTTGAGGAAACCCCCTCAGCAGCATGTGGTATTATCATAGTTTGAGGAAACCCCCTCAGCAGCATGTGGTATTATCGGTGTTTGAGGAAACATCCTAAGTAACTTGTGTGTTTCATTGAGAAATGGATTATATCGTACGAAAAATATATTATTAAGAATAAGCATTTAAAACTATTTTACTAGTCCTCGGTTTCGTATTGATCTTAATGTTTATTAAGAAAACTCAAACAAATTACTTTCAAAATTTTGAAGAGTTCTTTATCAACATTTCATTCTATAATTGTATTTAATATATGCGCACGTTACAAATATTTAGTACTTATTTTATTCTGATTTATGTCATTTTAACTTCAATTCATCGTTTTCTGGCCTTTGTTCTCTTCATGATTTATCGTTGCCTTGTCAATTCTTGGTTTCAAAAAGCTCTAAATATCTTAACTTGATGTCTCAGCTTCTAGTTTCTTGAGTTCGGTTATTCCACGATCTTAGTTTGGCTAAACCGCTCTCAACTTCTAGTTTCTTGAGTTCGGTTATTCCACGATCTTAGTCTGGCTAAACCGCTTTCAACTTCGAGTGTCTTGATTTCAATTATTCCACGATCTTAGGTTGGCTTAAGTTAGTCTTAATTGTTCTATGATATAAATCAAACAAAATGCAACCTATTATTAAAACACCAATAGACTTTATCCTTACTCTGAATATTAGAAAACGTTAATATGTAACTCAGTTGGTTTTCACGAAGTCGTCTTTTTTTATTCAATATGTTAAATCATGGAACATAATTCTAAAGGACCTTACACTTTACGTGTCGTATTTATTCACACATCTTGTGGAACTACAGATACCATATATTCTACTGTTTCAAAATTCAAGTGCTCCTACCATAAATTTAACATTTATTTCACAGAAGCAAGCCTATTTTCTTCGTCTACGTCGACATCTACAAAGCTAAAGGATAAAGCTAGCCATCCTTGTTAGGGCTGTTTCAAAACATCAAATATCTTGAAGATTTTGGACAACTATAACTTCAGCCAACTCATGTTAAACGCTTGCTGGCCGAAACAATAATGTACATTTTTTTTTACAATGATATAAGTAGACTCGAGACATCACGTACACGGACATGTGAACAGTGGGAAACGAACCCTAAGGAAATTGTTTTTTTTTCTAGTCGTACGTCAGGCGTCACCTAGCAGCTATATTTGTGACAACAGGCTACGAAAACCGTTTGCACTGTGCACACAGAAAAAACAACAAACAAACAAGAGTTAAATAAATCTGCAAAGCACACCCCGCGACAACAGGTCAAGTATACCAAGAACACCTAGTTGATCAACGAGTTTTAAGTTGTTATCTTTTAACTTTCACTTTCCTTTCTTTTTTGAGTGACACATGTCACTCCACATGACTCTGATGTATTGGGTTCATTACTGTCAAAGTCTCCATCACGGGTGCAGCTGTAACACATGGGACATCTAGCGACACAATGACCAACTTGGTCGTTATTTGGCTTCTTCTTCTCAGAGCGACATCTGGCAGTCTGTTAAAAATGAAGCAATTGTTATTTCTGGTTAAAATTCAACTCATTGTCACAGAAACAGAGACTATACAAGAATTTTCTCTCGTATTTCAAAACTAATATCGAACAACAATAATTACATGTAAAGTAGGTATTTAATATGTTTTCTTAAAAGAAGAAAATGTGATTAATATCTGTATTAAACAACTAATCTCAGCTGATATAAATAATGTAAAGGATATTTTCAGTAATTGAGTTTATTGCTTATTCCCTGTATAATCGTCATATATGAACAACGATACACGTTAACAATCAGTACTTATGTTATCATCAAATTTATTTGCAGTAATAAGTTCTGTTGTTTGTTTGTTTTTCGGCTAAATTCTTTATCACATTTTATGATGACGGGTAATTTAACGTTCTCATGCAATCTCTAAACAAACGTTATGTCAATTTACTTAAAGTCTGTTTTTTTTTTCGAATGTTTAGCGAAACGTTTCCACGTTTCCATTAAGTGCAGGAGATTAGGGAGTACGGTCTCCGTTGCCTTAGGGACAGACGTTTTGTACATTGTTCGATGATCGTTAACCAACATATCAAGCCGCGTATAAGGTGTGCAACAAAATTAGGAAGAGGAGGAGAATGTGAATGATTTGGAAACTTCATCAAACGTCAGATTATTTGGGGCTGAAAGGCGTTCGGCTAAATGGTCACCTGTTCCTGGTTATTACATTTATCACAAAGAATTCTCTTCATTAATCTGCATCTAACTGCTAACTAACTGTACATCGACGACGAAAGGCTTAAAACCCGGAGGACTTTCTTTTTAAGTTGATTTTCTTTGTGAAAGCAACTTAAATACTTTATTTTATCTTGTTGTAAAATGAGCCAGTCCATACGAAAGTGTCGTAAATACGTGTGTGTGGCTTATCTTTCTTCCTCGCGGCAACAGAAGCTGCCTTACTGTTGCATGTAAATTAAGGGTTTCTGTGTGAAGAGTTATAAACGCATGTAACGTTGTTACATATATTTGCTGAGTATATGAACATTTTCTGTGAGAAATATGAAAGTAATAAGCAAGCTCGTTCCTTCCGACACTAGATGCTACTGGGAATGCCACGTTTTTCGTAGTTGTGATTAATGTATACATTATAAAAAACTCCACGCCGTCGTTTCTCAGATATAAACCGATACATTATGTCTCATTTAGAAGACTTCCTTGACACAGGTAAACCATCCACCTTAGGTACAGGAACAATGATATATATACACACTAACTGAACGATATATCTAGTATATCAAAACGGGAACGTCACACGAGTTTTGAATAATGAATCATTTGTAACATTTACAATGTGTACACACTTCTAGACACTTCCTCTGTACTAATTCAAATTTCGTTCATCCCTTGCTTTCGCTTACATCTTACTTCTTTTTTTTTCTCTCGTCTCATTTTCGCTATCCATACATATGTTTTTGCCTTCTTTCACTTTTATCCATCCCTCCCTCTTCATATGTTTCTTTACTGTAGCTTATATCTTCAGATCTCTCTCTCTGGTTTGTGCATATCTCTCTCACATGTTGTCTCTAGTTTTTCTGTTTTCTTGACTTGCTTATGAAAATTCTTACTTTTTCTCTTTATCACCCGCTCGTAACGGAGGAAAGCATATATGGAGAGCAGGGGTATGTAAAGATATATTGATGAAAGTAAGAAAAAGAAAGGAGAAAAGTGAGAGGAAGGAGGAAAGCATGTATGGAGAGCAGGGGTATGTAAAGACATATTGATGAAAGTAAGAAAAAGAAAGGAGAAAGTGAGAGGAAGAGATGAGAACCATATATGCTTTCCTCCTTCCTCTCACTTTTCTCCTTTCTTTTTCTTTCTTACTTTCATCAATACATCTTTACAGACCCCTCTTTTCTTGTTCTCCCTGTGTTTATATAACTTTTTTTTATCGAATTATTGCACACTATAATATTGCTCGAGTACAGACAGACTGAAGTACGGTAGAAATACACATTTTAGATTCATTCTACACGATCATAAATACTTTGTTTGAATCAGTTAACCTCTCAATATTATTATTAGTGTGAAAACTTGCCAAAGTATAGTATCTCAAATGATGTCTTAACAAGCTAAAACTTCTAGTATTCTCCGCCAAACAACAAAAAACACCTAACAATGTAAATCTCATATCCTTTTCTACAAGAAAGTAATATCGGTCGTGGCTTAGTAGTTAACGTGCTGGCCTGTGAATCCGACAGTCCTTGGTTTGCTTCACCTTGCAACAAAATCACTTGCTGCTATTTGGAACCGTGGTTGCATTATAAGAGTGACGGCCAAATCCCACTAAGATAGATTATTTTGTAATATAGACTGTTACCTTGGCTCTTTCAATAGAAAAAGTGAAATAAAAATGTATTGTAAGGTAGATTGTTACCTTGGCTCTTTCAATAGAAAAAAAATGAAATATAGATGTTTTGTAAGATAGATTGTTACCTTGGCTCTTTCAATAGAAAAAGTGAAATAAAGATGTATTGTAAGGTAGATTGTTACCTTGGCTCTTTCAATAGAAAAAGTGAAATAAAGATGTATTGTAAGGTAGATTGTTACCTTGGCTCTTTCAATAGAAAAAAGTGAAAATATAGATGTTTTGTAATATAGATTGTTACCTTGGCTCTTTCAATAGAAAAAAGTGAAATAAAGATATATTGTAAGGTAGATTGTTACCTTGGCTCTTTCAATAGAAAAAGTGAAACAAAGATGTATTGTAAGGTAGATTGTTACCTTGGCTTTTTCAATAGAAAAAGTGAAATAAAGATATATTGTAAGGTAGATTGTTACCTTGGCTTTTTCAATAGAAAAAGTGAAACTAAAGATGTATTGTAAGGTCGATTGTTACCTTGGCTCTTTCAATAGAAAAAGTGAAACAAAGATGTATTGTAAGGTAGATTGTTACCTTGGCTCTTTCAATAGAAAAAAATTAAATATAGATGTTTTGTAATATAGATTGTTACCTTGGCTCTTTCAATAGAAAAAATGAAATAAAGATGTTTTGTAAGATCGGTTGTTACCTTGGCTCTTTCTCTCACTCTCACTTCGGTTATGTCGCTCCTTCTCCAGCTCCTCTGCTAAGGACTCTAGAATACACCAGATAGAAAACTCTTACAGGCGAAAGGTATATAGAAAATAAAATACATATTCCTAATTGCCCCGGGTGACTCAATGGTTACTCGGGTTTTCCTTTACTTTTATGGTCATAAGTGGATGCAAATGAAAGTCCTCATAGATACTATTGTTTCAGCCTAACAAACGATATTCCACTTGGTACTTGTGATTGAAAAATTATCAGACCACTCTTAAGTTATGCTCAGTTTACCGAGTTTACAACAGTGCTACGCACCCTTTTAAGCCGACGGGGGTATTTATTACCTCTTCAGACCGATGTAGAAAGAAGAAAAAAAGACCCCGAATTGTGGCGGGTTTATACTGAGATATCCCCAAGGAATGATGCACTCAACCTCTGCAGTAAAGCTATGCAAAGGCATTTAAATTTAATAAGCAGCAAGTTATGGGGAAAAATGGCGTCCATCACTTAAAGGCCGTATTAACTTTAGAAATAACATACAGAAACTGAGTAGGTTGACAACTGTAAACATGAGTTAGGTGCTTGTGTAGAATATGATAGCACCTGTTTACGTTATTTTATCCTTTGGCGACTAGAAACAAGTGAAAAATAACAGTTTTTTTTTTCCTTCAGGAGGAACTTTCTTCTCAATTCTTACGTTTTTGTTGCAAACTTACTTAACGGACAGACAATCATTTTACAATTTTTAAAATCTTACGTCAACCCATTTGTGTGTCGTGAAGCATGCATGCAGGCCACTTTGCCAGCAGTTGCCAGCTGTCAAGGCGGGAATCCCATTAGTAATCCTGTTAAAAGGGTATCAAATAAGCTTTCTTCACATCAAGAATGGATTCCACATGCAGATGGCACTCCAACGAACCACGTGAGACAAACGGGTAAAAAAGAAAGAGCTCACGGTGCATAAATCAAATCATTTTCTAGTGCCGACTACGGTATGAAGCGATCATCGGTAATACAAGCTGCTGGAGGCAGCCATTACTCTCCTAAACGGTTGAACCGGGGAAATTAAAAAATCACACCCTGCCTACAAAATTCATAAATCATTCCATACATATACAACATTATACAGAAAAACCTAAGTACACGAAAAAAAAGTAAAGCAAAATTGGCATCTAAGAGAACACAATGGATAAAGCTTATATCAAGACATCATGTACGCGAGCACTACAACCCACAAGGTTTGTAAGCACATGTTTATATACATGAGCCATTCGAGCGTTCACTCGATTCAACCGATCAGGAAATTTGACTAAAACTCGCAATTTTAATGTTGTGCCGCTTAACTGTACCTTATCACGAACGAATAGATATAAACTATACGTATTTACCGTGAGTTGTCTGATATGTTTATTAGAAACTCACTGGTTAAAAGTTGGTGCAGTTATAGGTGGGTAAAATGACATCAGAATAGGTTGTTAAAAAGAGCAATCTGTTTTTGTTTCTTTAAAACAGTTTTCTTCTTTCGTCTTTGAAGGTGTTACCAAAAACTTCCACCCATTCAACAAAACAACTTGTTTCGGTTATCTTACCATTCAATAGACGCAGAGTTTCGGCTGAGGTGTTACCAAAAACTTCCACCCACTCAACAAAACAACTTGTTTCGGTTATCTTACCATTCAATAGACGCAGAGTTTCGGCTGAGGTGTTACCAAAAACTTCCACCCACTCAACAAAACAATTTGTTTCGGTTATCTTACCATTCAACAGACGCAGAGTTTCGGCTGAGGTGTTACGCAAAGCATCTTCATAGTGAGAGCGTTTCTTCATTTCCACCTCGAGCTGTTCTTGAAATCTTCGACGTGATCGTTTCTCCCGTCGTAGGCGCTTCTGGTAGATAACTAGAGAGAAAAAAAAAGTATTATTTGTTTGTTTGTTTTTTTATTTCGCGCAAAGCTACACGAGGGGTATCTGCGCTAGCCGTACCTAATTTAGCAGTGATAGACTAGAGGGAAGGCAGCTGGTCAACACCTCAAACCGCCAACTCTTGGGCTATTCTTTTACCAACAAATAGTGGGATTGACTTTCACGTTATAACGCCCCCACGGCTGAAAGGGCGAGCATATTCGGTGACAGGTTGCGAGTCGAGCGCCCTAACCACCAGGCCATGCCGGGCGAAATATATATATATATACAGTATTGTTAAACAATTCATTCGCTACACAACCGAAAACGAACGTGTAATGAAGAAAAACAACACGTACTCCAATAACAATATGGACTAATACTGACAATAATTGGTATATCAATACCGAAACCATCTCATATTGACTGCTTATAACAACAGTACGCATCTTTGTAGATCGCACAAAAATAAACAGCACCCAGTTTACCTGTCTTATTACATGACTATTCTACTCAAAGAAAAATTCGGAGTTTAATAATAATAAGTAAAAGGTCATGGGAAAACAGTGGGTATAATAAAATATTTAATATCAGATTTAACTACATGGATAACTAATTTACCATTACTCTGATTAGACTTAAATCTTTAATATCAGATTTAACTACATGGATAACTAATTTACCATTACTCTGACTAGACTTAACATAAATCTTTAATATCAGATTTAACTACATGGATAACTAATTTACCATTACTCTGACTAGACTTAACATAAATCTTTAATATCAGATTTAACTACATGGATAACTAATTTACCATTACTCTGACTAGACTTAACATAAATCCTACTTTTCTGGAAAAAACAGCTCGGCCATCAGAGTTGAGCCTAAAGAGTTATTAGAACAGTCGAAATTTTGTAAAGATGGGCCGAAAATAAAGAGTTATCGGAACAGCCGACATTTTGTGAGGATCTGCCGAACATAAAGAGTTATCGGAACAGTCGACATTTTGTAAGGATGGGCCGAACATAAAGAGTTGTCGGAATAGTTAACATTTTGTAACGATGAGCCGAACAAAATGAGTTATCGGGACAGTCGACATTTTGTAAGGATGGGCCGAACATAAAGAGTTATCGGAACAGTCGACATTTTGTAAGGATAGGCTGAGCCTAAAGAGATTTTAGAACAGTTAAAATTTTGTAAGGATTGGCTGATTCTAAAGAGTTATTGAAACAGTCGAAGTTTTGTAAAGTTCAACTGAGCCTAATGAGTTTTTGGAACAGTCGAAATTTTGTAAGCATGGGCTGTGCCTAAAGAATTATTAGAACGGGCGAAATTTTGTAAGGATGGGCTGAGCCTATGGAGTTATCGGAATGGTTGAAGTTTATTAAAGTTGAGCCCGTTCCATATACGTTATCAAAACAGTTTACGTTTAGAATTCCTTAAGTTTTTGTAATTTTGGTTCGAAGATTTTGAGTTTATATAAACTTCATCAAAAAAAAGTTTTATTTTCAACTTTTCGGGTTGTAGTTCATGTAGATCGTGTGATTAATGTAAAATATTAGCATGTACAGATCAAATGTTCATGATCACGCTCTACTTGACAGAATATTCATATCTTCCATAGATATCGGTTTCAAATTGATTTTTTCTTGAATTGGTATCGACGATGTCAATAGACGGTCATTCTGTTTTCAATTAAAAATTGAATGTATCGTAAAACTGTTTTCCTCGTTGTGTTTCCTGCTGTTTGGGCGTTAATAATCATTTAATATACGACTATAATACAATACGAAGAACTGACATTGAGAAACTATGGCTTGTATCCCAGCCATTAAACGAAAGTCCTCGTCGGCACCGGATATAGCAAGTACAGAGCGGATGACATTGTATCGCCTGAAGACCATTAAACAAAAGTCCTCGTCGGCACCGGATATAGCAAGTACAGAGCGGATGACATTGTATCGCCTGAAGACCATTAAACGAAAGTCCTCTTCGGCACCGGATATAGCAAGTACAGAGCGGATGACATT